CCCCAAAACCCCAAAACCCCAAAACCCCTAAAAAATCCTCACATTATTAATAAACATTCCTTCCCCTAAAAATGGACCCCTCCCCTCCTCTCTCCTTCACCCACTATTTCCCACTCCTTCACACCACTATTGTTCAAGGCGGATTCAGTGCTAGTTTTAAAAATTGTGAAATTGAAAAGGATTTGAGAGTGGTTTATGCAAAGGTTGATAAGAACGTTTTTAGAAGCTGCAAGAAGGAATTGAAAGGTAAATATTTGAGAATTTTGTGAGATTGAGGAAGAATAAGGATTTAGGGAATTGGTGGATTTTTGTAGGGTTTATGAAAGGTGGATTTCGAGTATTTTGATGATTTAGAGTCTTTGGGATAATTTTAGAGGCTTATTTGTTTATTTTGCCTATCTTGGTTTCATTATTTTCTAACTTTCCCTAGCTGATTGATTTTGTGATTCTATCCTGCTCAGTTTCTATTGTAATTCTAGAAGCCTTATAAAAGCTTAATATTAACACTTCTCCCTTCGACTATCATTTAACCCACATTACAGTGCCACAAGAAAATATTGGCTCTGTCAAACTATCCTCCTAAATTTGATTTCTCCAGCCTGTTAATCTTTGTATTTCTTATTATTTGGCCATAACTCCAATATTCTCTAATTAAGCTTATAGCCATCTTAGGAGAATCATTAATAGCTTGTTTGAAACATGGATACTGACATCTCCATTCTCTGATATAGTGACTTACAATATCTACGAAGACGAGAGATTTGGACACCTCAATGATGAGCTCCAAAATCAGCTGCTGTGGGCTGGCTTATGCCATGACTTAGGTAAAAGGGGAGAAGTAGAGTTCAAAGGTAAAGACCATATCCACCCATTCAGAAGTGCAGCCTATTTCATCGATATCTTGAAGAACAATAATCTGATTAAGGATGAACTTCGAGACAAAGCTGATGAACTAAGCGAACTGGTGTTTAATGCACACACTGATATTCAATACGAATGGTTTTTGAAGGAAAAAGAAGATTCTGATGGCAATATTTGTGACCAGATGCATGACCATGATAAACTAGATGATATATTTAAGCTCCTTGAAGAAGTAGCAGATGGGGACTTATTTATTAAATAATGTGTTCGTGGTGATCTTATTCCACCAGAGCATCTATGGAATTAAAGACTACTTTCCGATGAAATGCCTGGAAGATAAAGAAATCATAAAGTACAGAGAATATTTAAGTGAAGATGTACTTAATATGCTTGATATCTTTATGCACTGTGATAGTTATGCTTATAGTAGAGTTTGGGCAAGTTATGACCTCATCCAAACATATCAACAACAAATATCTGACGAGATTAAAAGAATTAAAGCCGATGTTTTGAAGATTTACAGCTCTAAAAGATGTACTGACTCAGAAGACTTCAAACAAGAATTGTATTGATAAATAAGTTTCAATCGTTCAAAGTTCCCACTATTTCAGCCAAAGCCCTTTAAAGTTTGCTAAAATTGCCTTATCCGCACAATAATCCTAAAAGTTCCAAACCCTATCAAATTCTCGCATCTTTCCTTAACCCGGTTGTTCCATTCTTGTTTGTTCAGCCACCTTGGGGCTCTATTTGGGCTGGAATCCCAGTTCGTTTCTTGAACCTTGTAAAGGCCAAACAGAGGCTTTAATAAGAATTTTAGGAAAGAGCAGAGTCTGGGCTGAAGAGGGGTTGGGAAAGGAGTCAAGGAGTGGAGTAGGGATTTTGGGGTAGGATGGGGATTTGGATATCAGTATCTTTTATGACCATTTGGAGGAGTTTGTGTGTTTTAAATTCTTTGATAGCCGAAGGAGATCCGAATAACTCTGGTTTAAATGATTACCTTCTAATTTCCTTCCCTCCGTTATTAATTTCCCCTCAGTCCAACACTCAACCCCCATATCACCACCAGGGGTTTTGGGGTTTTGGGGTTTTGGGG